GAGATTCATAAGACACATGTATTACCAGGAACATTATTAATGTAACATTATTAATTTAATGTTTTTTGGGGGGTGTTGATTTTTTGTAATATATTTGAAAACAATTCTAAAAAAAAATGCTTAACACTGCATTCAACATTGCATTAGATGATACACCATCTCTGTACATTATTAACCTGGTTGTAATTAAGTAATGTGATGTGTAGCTTGCATTTTGGCTGAGGTCTTAGCCAGCATGTGACAAGCTTAAATCTAGTCCTTTGTAGCATTTTAATTATTTGTTTTGAATGTTGATTTGAATTTTGTTTAAAAGACTGCTGCTTTTCAATTAATTCATTAGTGAATAGGAATTTTCCTAAACCAAACAAAATGGTTCTGTGATTCAAGCTGTAAACCACATGCCATGTTTTAGCTGAAATCATTTTTTTAAAAATTCTGCAGGGAACACCAGTACAGCAGCCACTGACAATGACAACTTTATGCTGTAGGGGATGTAATGATCCTGAATAGACATGTCTATTATCACGCAGCCTCTTAAAATTACTGTTTTCTCTCAAGACTACTCCATGAATGGCAAAGCGTCTCAGGAAGGGTTACCAATGCAGAATCTTTAAATGGTGGTATAGCTGGTATTTATAAATTAATCCCATTGCTTACGAATGAGACAGGCATTTAAATACATAATTAGTGCAACAAACTATGGTAATTAACTTATTAAGGAAGATCAGCTAATGGCTTTCATGGTTGTTTCAGCTGCCCATACTATCAGCACGTTATTGTTGTTTAAAGCGGACCTAAGAGCATAATATATCCCTGTTGTGTGTTATGGTGAACCAGGTCCTGGATGATTTGCCAGTTTAGACTCTCCAACAGTTTCCTCACCCTTTGTGAATGGATCATTTTATTATTTTTTTACATAAAGATTGAACCCATTCTGATACTTAATGCAAAATGCTCCAAACCAGAGAAAGTCACATGCTTAAAGCCAGTGAATATGCCAAGCAATATTACAATAGCAACAGTAAATTAGGAACGCAATCAAAGGCAATTACCCGTGATGAAAATTGTGTGCCTATTCAAATGCTGAAGTTAATTAAAGATCCCTTTTTCTCCCACAACAAATGAAGAAGGGGATAACTCAGAATTATGGGCTCTGTCTAAGTTCATTACTGGGTTGAAGTGATATTTCAGAAAGGACTAGACTAGTGAAATTTGCATTTGAAATAAAATGTTTTATCTTATAGGAATTCCCTCACACCTAAGGCTGATGGAGATTACTGGATTAGGCAAAATAACGGCTGCAAATCACCAGCCTCTTAAACTGAATGGGTGATATTCCCCTGTACCAGGGTGCGTGTTGCCCTCTGTAGTCTTATTCAAGTTCTATGCCTTCATTACACTTGGAAACTGCAGCAGAGAAACTAAGTGTAAGACTGAGACTCCACATTCACAGAATAGATTTTAATCAAAAGGAATCCATGGGTGCGTTTTATTTTTCCAGCTACATCTTTCTGACAATCACACATAATTCAATCATCCGGATCTCATCTAAAATGGATGAAAGGGTGCTTAATATAGCTGGCCCCTGCACGCACCAAAGTCAGCAAAGGCCACTTGTTTCAACAAGCAAACATGTGAACAGAGCTTTCATTCTCATCACTGAAGATAGGCCTGCCATTTTAATTTTACAGCATGATTTAAAATCTTAATCAGCACAGCGAAAAATTAGTGCCGAGGAGTTTTCACCCATTTTTTCTGGTTCACGGCTAGCCAGTCCACTGAACGCTGTGAACATTTAGGCGGTACTAAAAGGAGAGGCGAAAGGGTATTAAAATTTTTTTTTTTCTTATCGCAGCCTCTTAGCATTAAAATGTGACAGATTCATCAAAGGTTCTCTTCACCTTATCTGCTGTTGTCTGAAGGATATCACCACTGTGGAGATCTTCAAGTAGGTCTCTGCAGCATAAGTGATATCTTGATTGACACATCTTCAAATAAGACTCTGAATAGTTTTCCATATTGGTCTCAAAATAATTCAGATGTCAAATTACATCCAGCAGACTCCCAGACTCTGCTAGGGATGCTGAATAAATTTTTGAAATATTTAGGGAAAATATTGAATTTTTGCATTGGGTCAGGGTTCATATATTTTACTAATAAAAGAGGTCACCAGGATGTTTGATGATGAAGGGCTTGCGATGATTTTGTTGCTTTCAGTCAGCTGAACAACCCTCAGCAGAACAGACCAGATTTGTGATGACCTTTGTGTGTGTTTGTGTGTGTTCATCCTGTCCTGCAGTTTTTAGCATCTTCACATTTTGATGCTGCTTGTTGTGTTTGTGCTTAGCTGTGAACAAGGAAATAATTGAAGTCTTTTCACACCATGCTTTTAGCTAGTGTTGCCAGAGCTTGTCTTAAATTCAAGCACTTCCCATTTCACGCTGACCGCCAAGTGAAGTTAACCGCCAATTCTGGTAGGCACACAGTGCAGGAGGCTTTTGCTTGCTTTGCATTTCTTTCATTGGCTGACTTTTATGCAGATTTATTGCGCTTGTAGACCGTAATATGCAATTTGGGACTTTACTCTGTGTCAAAAGTTCTTCTATTTTGGGAATCGAATGCACTGGCAAGCATTATTCGGTGTAACGTCTTTAACTCGTTCACCAGAACAAACTCACTTTTGTCTCAATAAAATGCCTCTAGGAATGAATAAACTCTGTATCTGCTTGCATGATTTCCCCGTGCTGTTTCAACAAAACAAAATAAGCACCACTCTCTTGATCATGTATAATCCCGACCACTGGATCATTATTATAAAACCAAACTTATCACTTAGGCACTATTCCATTTGCAAAGTGTGCAAACCCGATTCAATGCGTTCTCCATTCTCACTGAAGCCTTTACTTTTTTTTTAAATTGAAGAATTATCAGTAATTCTCATCCTCCCCTTCCCTTCAGTCTTCGTTTCACATAATCAGCAGGCTTTTAAATTCCAAGCTTGTCGTGAGCTAGCCACTTCTGTTTGAATAATCTTGTTTCTCTGTGACTCCTTTCAACCTCGGTGGTACTATATATTGCAGCACGGGCTCAGGCCTTTCACCCAGGTTCTTAATAAAATAAAAATAATAAATATGTTAGCAGTGGTTTCATATAACAAAGTGGTAACATCAGCATACATAAATACCCTTGAATGGCACTTTTTATAATTACTGCACTTGAACTCATTGAATAATTGCTCTGGTTTAAGTGCTTAATGGGACATAACCTCTTAAGCATTTGTTTCGAAAATGATCTTGCCTGATATTGGTAGTTGCACATTGCAATACATTTAAATGCTCTGCATTTTCACCTCAAGAGTTTTATTAAAAGAAGGGGAACCCGTCCTGCCACAATTTGCATATGCAGATCCTGAAATGTTTGGTAAATTAAATTGCCACAAATTAATCTGAGAATATCTGAAATATGCCACCCTTTGACATCTAATTATTACCTTTTTTTTACATCAAGTCTGCACTGCTGCAACAAAATATTAGCATTTTTATTTTAGAAATGATCCATCGAAGATCGTAATTTTAGCTTGTAAATGCAGGACGTTGCATTATTTCCCAACTAATTCCAAACTGACTTGGATTGAAAAGGACAACACATATACGGAACTGAACTGTCAAGGTTTCTTTTTTCTATCAATAAACTGAAATTTAATACTCACTCATTAGCAGAAAGCTCCTTACTCCACCACAAATCCGTTAGCTACATCATTGAGCAAGCATTGAGAGTGTGAAATGAAAATTAAGTTTATTGTAATTTTTTAGCTGTTGCCCATATCAAAATATTCCCTTCATTGCTGATTCATGAAACAAGAGTACTGAAAATACAGAATTAAACAGACTGGATTATTTTTCATTTATTTTTGACTATTCTTCAATTCTTCCAGATTCGCCCACAAAATATAATCAGTTCACTTTACAGTATATTCTGTGAAGCGCTTTGAGACGTCTCGAAGATGTGATATATCAAATGCAAAACTGATATATTATGTGATTTTGCTTTTTTAATATAAATATACTCAGTTATTGTGAGAGCAACAAAATGCAAATAAGCAAATGTAACTGAAAACCAGTGTGATACTGTACAACTTTGAAATAACAACTTCAAGTGGAGGAAGCGATGTTCAGAGCCTTTGCTTCTCACTGATGACCTTTCCAGCGTGCAATTTAGAAGGGACATATATTAATTTCCTACCCCCTTGTTTACTCTCCCCTACGTGGCTTCCAATTGTCCCTATCACTTCTCTCGTTATTTCATTCTCCAGCATGACAGAAAAAAGAGCATTCTGTTGCAAGGCTATCCCCATAGCAGGGCAAAGCAACTCAATCGCATCTACAGCCTCAGTGCTTTCTCGTAGGATCTTTTCATTCCTGCTATGATTGCTGGGATAACTACAGTTCTGTAACTTTCTCACACTTTCGCTCACTGAAGAACAAGCAAAAACGAGAGAAATGGAATGCAAAACTGGAAAATATTTCTCAAGGAATTGTAGTTAGTGGAATCCATGGCCCATGGAAAGATCAACAGCTCTTTTGCTGTAACATGCTTCCTTCTGCTCTTATGTTCCAAAAAAAGCCTATTAGGTTAAGGTGGTGTGTGGGTCCATTGTTTGTTAAACCAGGAGGGAAAAATCTATTGTAAATCTGTGATTAATCTGTTCCATGCAAATTTTTTGATACGATTCCACTGGACTACAGTTCAAGTCCAAAGGAAAACCTGACCGTAACCACCAGGCATTTTGAACCCAATGATTCTAGTGAAAAATCATGAAAAGTGCTCAATATAAGGTTTGCAGTTTGTATCAAGGACAGGAGAAATGTAGTCGTGTTCCTCTGCTCCCACGTTTAATTCATACCATCTCAGATAAATGGTAGAAATGTGCATCTTAGAATGATGAGCTGTGTTACCACCTATGAATTAATCCTAAATACTTGTGTTTGGATTTCTTGCAGGAACTGACTCCCAAATCTCTTCCCATCGCCCCAGCTGGAATGACCTGATCTGACTTGATCTCCCAACTCTGTGCCAGGTGGACATCATTCATTTTATAATTTACCATTAAAAGCTTGATACAAAGTCAAGATGCCTTATTTGTTTGATTGCTGGTGAGGAATAGTTGGGTATAGAACAAGTCTATACCGCAAGATGATCTCAACATTTATGGTGACCCAGTAGATCTCAACCAGGATAACAGTTGGAGACACTAGGGTTAGCCACAATGTCTTCGTGCTGCACCTGTTGAAAAGTTCATATCTCGTCTGGACAGAATGCAGCTCAGCTGTGATTTCTCTCCCTTGTCAGTTGAATAACTTGCGACCGCACAGTCTAGGCTCACATGTGAAGAATGGTTGCTTCAACAAGAGGAAATTATTTTGCATTATCACCTTGAAATCTCAAAGCTCTTCACAAATAACATGCCAGCCAATTGAGCCAGCAAGGTTCCAGAAACAGCCAAGAGGTAAATGAGCAATTAATGTGCAGCATTATAGGCCAGGACACTTGGAGAGACTTTCTTCTCTAGGGATGTCTTAAACCTCACTTGAAGAACAGGCAGACAGTGCTTCAGTTTGACAAAGAATGGTGAGAAAGGTAAGCACATAGTTAGGTGACAAGAACATGGTTCTGTACCTTGGTAAGTCTATCTTAACTGTTGTCACATTTGTAAATTCTTAAAATAATAATCAGTTAAGTAATTTGATTACTATTGTTGCATACTTTATACGTGCAACTCAGCTTTATAGGCCTTTGGCAAGGACTAAGCGTGGAATTTGAAAAACATTTCAAGGGTTTTCTTCAAATCAGGATCTCAAATAATGTGTTTTGCCAGGCAGCAAAAGCTAAAGGCACTAATTTGGCACTATCATCTATGGGTCTTTTAGTTTCTGTACATGTCAGTATTTCATAAGTCAATTGTGTGATGGAATCTACCTGGTCCACCTCTGACACAGACACTGCTAGCTTAGCTGTACAAAGTCCCTGCAGTTCAGATCAGGCCATCTGTATTATTTCACCCCTACATCCCCTCTGGTTTGTGTCTCTCTCTCTCTCTTTACACAGAGACCTGTAATTCTCACTACTGTTTAACTACTGCGTATTTAAGTAAGTTTATTACTACAACAACTTGCATTTATACAGTGCCCATCATGTATACTAACATTTCAGGGCAGTTTAAAGTGACGGGGACAGACTCCGTGCAGGGAGGAGGGAATTTACACTCTGCGTCACCCTTTCACTGTTCATAAATGTTACTCTTAACATTCCTCCAGTGTTGACAGCTTTGTTAAGTAGCATTGATCATTATGCTCCTCATTGCTCCTACCCATATTCACTCACTTAAAATAACAGGTGGTTCCCATTTTCACAGGATCTACTTGCTGTTTAATAACCGTAGCAGAAGTGGACAAGGTGGGCATGAGGATGGTATTATGTCTCCTTCCTGCTCTGCCCCTCACCTACATTTTAAAGCAATATACAATCTTATGCAAGTTAAACTAGGAAAGAGTGAGATTAGAGTAGTTAGCTCCAGTGGGGGTAGTTAATAATAATAAAAATAATCTCTGCATTAGTTATAGCACATTGTTGAGACGTCTCAAAGCCCTTTACTGAATATACTGTAAAGTGAATTAACTGTATATTTTGTGGGTGAAACACGGCAGCCAATTGTGCACAACAGTGCCCCACAGTCATATTATTGTGTGCAATTGGTTGCTGCGTTTCGTCCACAAAATACACACTCAATTCACTTTACAGTATATTCTGTGAGACGTCCCAAAGACATGATAAGGCGCAATATCAAATGCAAGGATTATTATATATGACTATTATTACATATTTATTTATTGCATAGTTAGCACCAGTACAGGTACAATGCCTTACTCTGTGCTGTAAACATTCTATCAGTCCTACCCTTATCCTCCTCACCCATCTCCCCAAAGCATGTATATGTTGGCTCTCTCCTGAGCACAATAGTTTGCTTCTAATACATTTTAATGCACAAAATTCAAGAGTTTTTTAACTGGAGAACTGCAAGACTGGTCTGAGCTTTGAGGTTTTTTTTAATGGCTGAGCTGGATTTATAGTGAATAAACTACAACAATATCCTTAGAGGTTTACCTTTTCATTCCAGAAGGTTTCACAGGTTTCAAATTTCTCTAAATAAAAAATAAACCTGGGAGAATTCTGTTTTTCCAGTTCATTCGCTGTGTATCCCACCAATTGTCATTAAAAATCTAGAGTCCAGATAAATCCCTCAGCACATCCATAGAAACAATTATAATTTGTGCATTGATGTGCACTATAGGTAAAACACACTCCTAACTGAAAGAGGTTTCTCAGAAGCTCAGGTTGATACAAATGTGACTGAATATCCGCTGGCAGGGGAATGTTCCATGCCTTAGCAGCGTATAGTGAGTGATTTACCTCTCTATGATCTCCCAGTGCCAGATAATAGCTTTGCCTCCTGCACTGACATTTCTGTGAAGAAAGAGAGAAGGAAAAAAAAAGTCGGAAGAATCAAACGGCAAAGAAAGAAGAGAAAAGTGGTGAGAAAACATAAGAAATTCATGATCGAATGCAGGACTCTAGATTTTTAATGACAATTTGTGGGAATAACACAGAATGAGTAGGTTTTTTCATACACAGAAATCATTAGAAAATATAATAATAATACTTGCATTTGATATAGTGCTTTTTCATGTCTTCTTGACGTCTCGAAGTGCTTCACAGAATAGAATGTAAAGTGAATTGACTGTATACTTGTGGACAAAAAGCACCAAACATGACAATTTGGTTTAAGTCGAGAGAAATTATGATTGATTTTTCAGCTCTGTATGTGTGGTAGCAAGGAATTTTCAGTTTTGTAGTTTGCAATGATCTATTCTTATCCTTGTGATAGTTTCCCCTATTACACAGAATTACATAGACCATACAGCACAAAAACAGGCCATTTGGCCCAACTAGTGTTTGTACTCTACGTGAGCCTCCCGCCTCTTAATCCCCCCTCTCACACCCCTCTGTTCTCTTCTCCCTCATGAATGCAATCTTCCAATCTAAATCATACCTCCTGCAGATCAAATTGTCCACAGCTTGCCTTGCAGCAGTGTCTATGTGTATAAAAGAAGTGAGGTTTGAAAGCTGTGAAGAAGGGCTTGCTTTCATCAGAGTATCACTTTTCAGCTTTATTTTGGAGTCCAAAGTATTACTGCATTACACAAGTGTGCCTTGTTGTACTTTTTGTTTTTTCAGTGTCTAGGAAAAGTCTTTTATTCTAACATGGAGAGCTGGAAGGCAAATTCTTCAGCGGTGTAATAGAAAATGTTAGACAATATTTCGGACTGGAGCTATTGACATTTGAAGTCACGGCACTTTGATTTTTTCCCAGAAAACAGATGGATCAGGCTTCACAGAATTATTGGACAGGAAGATTCGATGAGAAACCCTTCCCCTTTTAGATTCTTTTCTGCTTGTTCATGTCCTCCTGTCTGCATATGAGAGTAGCTTTTTCCCCCTCCTTTGCTGCCTGGGGAGCTGTTTCAACTCAATATTTCATGCACCACAGTACACCACACACCTGCCAACAGACCCTGTTCTACGGAAAATAAAGGTTAATTCCAGATCTTATTTTGCCCCAAATGGTTTAATTTTTTTTAATGACCAATAATATTTATTGGAACCAACGCGCGCGGAGCTAGCCTTGCGAGGATTTTCTGTGCCTTGCAGTCCAGTGTTGCTACTGCTTGATTCCATCTCCTCTTGCTTGCATTGTTCTCCGTATTTGTTCACAACAAGTTCAGCAGAAGGCTATCTGCTGCGGGAAAATCTCTGTGCATCTCAGCACACAAGTCATTGTTTTGTTCCTGACCTTGAAGAGACGGATAAACTGTTTAGCTGGAAGCGCAGTGTGCTCTCCTGACTGGGCTGTGAAAGACTTTAACTCACCTGAGACTCCGAACTCCTCATGGTCCTAACCTTAATAGTTAAGATCGTGCAGAATTCTGGAAAATTCGTCCTTAATTTGGAAGCCAGGTTTTTCACAGTTTTTAATGTTGTTTCTAACATTAATTGTAACCCTCCCCCACCTCCCCACCCCCGTGTCCAAAAAAAACCCTCCAGAATTCCATACGTTTTTAAAATTGCGAGACATTATATTGTAAAAATGCGATGCAACATTGCATCAGCCAGCAGCCAGCTTCTGCTAGCCTAGCTTTGTGTTCCTTTCGCATCTGCTTTGATTGTTTTTTGATAAATTGGTCACATCCCTTGGCAGAGGTGAGTGAAAATCGTTAACACTCTCAGCCCCAAATCTGCTTGCGGAAACCTTCCGAGCCGAATAACAACAGGCACCGGCCTGAAAAGGGCTGTCCGATGGATACTGGTAGTTCTATTCCGATGGCCTTCATTGTTACATGTGTAAAATTGTAAAAAAAATTCGTTTTTTGGTTCCTGTCTGTAAAGAGGACATCTTTGGTTAGACCAAAGGAGACACGGTGGGAATATCTTGTGTACCAAATCAAGAATAGATGGGACTTTGATACAGAGGCAGACTGCTCTGCTACTATTCCTGTATTCCTGAGTAATCTTTTGAGCCATGTAGACTTGCGTCAAATTCTAGTAGCTCAGTGGGGTCTACGTTGCAGCGATTTTATAACAGGAGTCATTATTAACAACTCCAAAGTGATGTAGACAGTGACTCCTGGTAACCGACTGTATATATGTCACTCCAACCTCTAATAATGATAACGCTTTCATTGACGCAGGCCTTTCATGTCAGGAGGACATCTTAAAGCGCTTCACAGGATTCACTGTAAAGTCTAGTGACTGGGCAATTTTATAGGTGGCAGCTGCTTTTATCTAAGTGTTCCTGGGGTGACAATGAATGACGTATGTCTGATTATTGGTCGATTTTATCTGCATTTCAACATAGATAATTGCCGCATTTTCTTTTTTGAAAAAAAAGGTGATTAAAATCCCACAGTTTCGACTCCCGCATCGTCTGTCTAATAAACTGACCCAGTCTGCTTTATCTTTGTAATTTTTCTTTTTCTTTTCTTTCTTTCATCGGATTATTGTTAATGGGGCATTA